ACCCCTTTACTTTAGTCCAGCTGGTATTTTGTCTTTTGGGTGTACTAGTCTGTTTCTAACTGTTGTGTATGGTGTTGTTGGTGTGTTTATGTTGTGTTTTTTCATTGTTGCTCTTATTTTTTCCGTTATGCCTCTGATGTATGGTAGGGTTATCACTGGTTTTGGTTCTTGTCTTTCTGGGTTTCTGGTTCTTTTTTTGGGTTGTTCTTTGCTTTCTGTTTTTGTTTGTTGTTTTCCTTTGTTTATTGCCCATGTCGGGTATCCGCAGGTCTTTAAAGCGTGTTGTATGTGTTTGTCCTCTTGTTTACGGTCTCTCTCTTCTGTTACCTGTTTGCTCGGTGATATAATGTTCTGATTACTGACATGTTGTGTATGGTGGGGTGTTCTGATGTCCATGATAGATATGGGTCTGTGTGTGTTTATGTTTAGGGTCCCGTCGGTCTGCCTGGTGATTTTCATATCCATAAATGCTATGCTGCCTTCTGTTTCTGACTCATAAGTGAACTCTACGCTGCCCGTGTCGTCCATGTTATTCAAGTGTTGTGTTAGTGTTTCTGTTTGACCTGTTGGTATGATTTCCAGTATGTCGTCTACGTAGCGTTTCCATAGTTTTATTTTGCAGTTGGGGGGGCGGTGGCTATGGCTTTCTGCTCCAGGTTTTCCATGAAAAACTGGCACAGGGTGGCTGATAACGGGTTACCCATGGCGAAGCCTTCCAGTTGTTTGTATATTGTGTTGTCGTATGTGAAGTAAGTGGAGTTAGCTACCAGTGCTATCAGTTGTGCTATGTCGTCTGCTGTGAGGTTTGTTGTTTTGTGTAAAGTCTTGTCTTGTCTGATTCTGTTAACTACTATGTCTATGGTTTTCTGGGTTGGTGTTTTTGTGAACAGGGATGTGACGTCATGTGAGATGGGTATGTCGTTGTCTTCTATTGTAATTTCCTTTAGTTCTTTTGCCAGTTCTATGCTGTTTTTGCAGTGTTGGTCTGTGCTACCCAATAACGGGCTGATGATTCTGCTGTTCGTTGTACAAACAAATGTTGATGGAAGCGGTTCCCCCCGTGTGAGGAACGGTGTGAGGTCAATGGTAAGGTTGAGACAGCAACTCAAACACAGGTTTTACAGCGACCTCTGATGGAGGGGAGAGAGAACTACACACAACAATGAATTTATGAGGCCCAGTAACATGAAAAACCATGTATTTACGAGAAGGAACAACAACTTAGTCTTAAACCGGTAAAACTTTCCATTCACCCATCGGCGGCTCAGTCGTAGCTGCTGCTGCTTTAAAAGGTTCTCCTAGAGGACCTCAAACGCCCCAGTCAGCATGGAAGTGATGAGTCACTCGCACCTGTATAACACCTTTCAGTCAGAGGAGCCCAAATCGCTTTACACTATTCACCCATTCACACACAGGTGATGATGAGCTACACTGTAGCCACAGCTGCCCTGGGGGCTCGGCCAGTGAGTAGCCACTTCCTGTTGTCCTGGTTTACGTGGCTGTGAAGAACCAGTAGAGCCTTCCTACTGCAGCTACGGTCAACAACCTTATCAGAATTACTAAACTCACAACTTCATTCAAAAGATAACGGTGTAGTCGTCAATAACTGGATTCACCTTACCAGACATGTTCGAGGGCCGCTATCCAGCATACTTTAGTTTGAACCTGCTTCATCACACCTGACTTCAATCAGCAGGTGATTAACAGGCTTCTGCAGAGCCTGATGAGCTGCTGCACAGGTGGATCAACCACGGAGACGTGCAGCATACCGGCCCTGGAGGACCAGGGTTCCCCACGCCTGTTTCTGATGAAGGGCTGAAACAAACTCACCTCCACGCGGTCCCGTCGTTAACGGCGCGGGTGAAAAACACGTTTACAGGTGCAGACGCTTCAGGAGCGCGCTAATCCTAATTCAGAAATACGTTTAGTTCATGTATACTGGGCCCAAGAAAACCAGAAGCACCTTTAATATCAGAGCCAGAATATTTCAGCTGGGATGATTTTATAAATCAGACCTGAGACCAAAATCAGGTAAACGCGCACGCACACACATTATTTATTTTCACAAGCTCAAACAGGCACCAAACATCACGTTTACAGCAGTTTATCCTGGAAACCAAAACAGATTCACATTTTCAATCATCCTAAAAATCAGACACGTAAAAAACGACGGCAGCTCTTCCCACAGCAGGATCAGAGAAGAAAAGACCCGACGTACCAAAAACACACGAAACGCTCCAACCCTGAGAACAAAATGACTCGTGTGAAGTTAAGAAATTCAAAAAGGACCAAATCTGAAGGATTTTCCTCCAGAAATGGATTTTTAGAGCAAAACTGTCAGTTTATGAGAATGTGTCCAACATGGTGAACATCTTACTTATCAGACTAAAGCAGCTGGACTATTAAGCAGAAGTCTTCAGCAAACATGAACATAACTAAACCAGATGTTCTGGATCCGATTCTCCTCCAGGCAACAGCGAAACGCCACGGCCGGCCAGAAACATACACGCCTGTAGATCATGACAACATGCATGTGGAGCCCTGAAGCACGTCTGGTGTTTGGTGTGTGAGGGATGAGGGCGCTGCAGATCCACGAGGGGCGGAGCTGTAGAGTGTTTCACAATCATAAAATAATCCCAACCCTAGTCCCAACCCCCCCCATCAACAGCTTCCTTTCAGCCAGTCACATCGCTCGCTGACGGAGAGCCCCGCCCTCACCAGCTCTGCTGCCCGTGACATCACTGCTTCCTGACAGTAATGGACTGAATTCTGAAAGAAAAACAAAATGATTATCGTTTCTCTACAAGTTTCTAAAAACCGAATCACGTTCTGGTTTGTGCTCCAGGAAAAGCCCGAGATTCCTCCTCTCATCCACGTCATCTCCACGGTTTCTAGACCTTCATCATCAAAACCACATTAAACAACAGAATGATCGTCTTCCTGATCTACTGATGTGGTTCCTCACCTTGCATCTCCGTTTCCAGCTTAGCGTCGTTCCCTGAGGTCGAGCTGGAACGTCCCAGGTTGTTTTTGGCTCCAAGGTCGGCGTCTGCAGTGTTTATTTCTACGTGATCCGGTTTCACCGTGGCTTTTTTCCCATCCACGTTATCCATCTTCACCAGGCCGAGAGTCATCAGCAGGTCCAGGGTGTTGACATTTTCTCCAGAGCATTCACCTCGTTTCCTCAGCATCTCCAACACCTGCAGGTGGGAAAACCGGAATGACCGGAGGGCAACAAATGAAGGTGGCAGCGTGGAGCTACCTGTACTAGTCCTGCCAAAAGCAGAAGTACAAGCTTCAGTTACTGCAACACTTTAGTCGTCTAGATGTCGGCTGGTAGTTCCGGACTAGTTAGTGGTACGGATCGTGACGTCCGATGGAGGACACAGGAAGTGGATCAGACCTTCATGTATTTGTATGACTTGAGTTCGCTGATGTTCTCCTCCAGGTAGAGCAGGTACATGGAAAGGTCGTCCCATTGGCTGTCAGGCTTGGGCAGGATGCTCACGGTGGGAAGTGATTGGTAGGTTTCCAGGAAGCTGGTGTATCCTTGGCAGAACAGGGGGCGGAGACTGGCATAGATAACAGCGGGGATCAGAGCGATGAAGACGATCAAGTTTACGAGGCTGGAGAGAGAAAAACAGGAAGAGTGTAGCGTTAATGATTAGCGATTATTTATTCAAGGATCAATAAGATGTGATGTTCCATATAAATATGAAACATGAACCTGATTGGTCGTTGAAGGTTTAATCAGAAACCTTTAGTTTTTACTTATTCAGGGACCATGAACACATGAACTCAGTCAGGAATAAGGTTAGAAATGATTTTAATTCTATTTTCCTGAACTAAACGATGCACATGACTCCGTACGACTGAACGGTGGTTATAGGCAGCAGATGATGGAAGGCGGGCCAGAGGTTAGAGCAGAGAGGGATGGTGCAGTCTGGGTTGTAACATCAGTTGATGAGCTAAACTTTAGTAAGTCGTCCGACGCCAGTGTGCAGACTACGATGCCCTTGTGTGTGTTGCTCACGGCGGTCCGGAGGAAAGGCAGCCCGAGTGGTGAGGTCACCGGACGTGGAGACCACGAGAGCCCAAAGAGTCGTAGCTCCCTTTGAGTTCAGCTTTCACCGGCCATGAGATGCAACCGGGGTCTGCAGGTTAGTCTAGAGGTGTTGGGCGGCTCCTAAAAGAGCCGTCTCCATCAGGTGAACGCCGCCCTGACCGTTACTCACCACGCCGCAACTGCCCAGGGGTCCCATCTAGAACACGCTGGGCAGAGTCTGTACTAAAACCGTACTCAAGCTCAGCTTGACGTATAAAACATGGAGGACGCACAGCTGCACGCAATCTCCGCTTCATTAATCAGAGACTAACGACAAAGGTTCTCAGGTCTTTCTGAGTCACATCCCAACCTCACCACGCCCACTTTCTGCCATAAATGGTCAACGCAGAGTGCCTTGTGGGTCTCCTGCATGTACACAAGTCGTTGCAGCACTCTGCCATTAACGATGGCGACCGCAGATGCAGATCAAGGAAGCAGAAGCTGAGGTAGCTGTGGGTGAGGTGGAGAAATGAAAGGAAGACTCCTGGGTAAGAGTCACGCACGCTAACCAGTCACCCGAAGGGAGAACCTCTAGTCTAGGCCAAGAAGCCGGGGCGCATGATCAGTCGGGCCACAGACACATAACGCCCCCCTGCTGATAGCCAGCATTACGTACTCTGCGCTTCAGGCTGTGTGTGTGTGTGTGGGGGGGGGGGGTACAAGCGATAATGCTGCTGGACTTAACTTTATCCTTCTCAGCAGCAGCACTGCAGGTGCTCTCCATGTCCAGCATGTGTGGAAGCCAGGTCCTTAGTCAACTTAAAGTTGTTCACATTTTTCCACTAAGTTTTCTTTCATGAATCCCAAAGTTTGCGTGGAAAGTTGCTTACGCAGTTTTACGACCCGGCTTTGTGTGTAAGCTAGCTTAATGGATGAGGCTCCTGCTCCTCCAAGGTCAAGAGCTGGGCCCGGTAGCGTGTCCCCTGATCACCAGTGCGTCGTTCTGAGATCTGTTCATCGTGACCTAATGAGCATCTCATCAAAGGACAAGGAGGTGAAGCTCATCTATTCTGCACACCAGAGTGCCTGTCCTCCTGCACCTACAGCTCCTGCACACAACTCTGTTGTAAACAACAGTCCACCATCACTTGAACCTGCCGCAACGGTGCGTCCCGTAGCACCCACGCAAGACCCGGGTCTGGAGAGGTTGCGTCCAGTATCGGTCTTCAACCATCACCTACAGGTCGGCGGGTCTAGTCACTCGTTCCCGCTGGACAAACCTTAACACTTTTGTGCAAAATCGTCCGATAAAGGTCCCAAACGAAAACCTCACATTCCTGTGACCCTTGAGGGGTCGCTAACCTGCGACGCTATCTTAGACACCAGGTGAGACTAGGGGTCGATGGGTGCACCTTTCTATCGGCCAACCGATCGATCGGCCCCAATCTCTGGTTTTTTCAAGCTCAGTGATTGGCTAAAAAGAGCAACTGGCGCACCCCTAGTTAATGTTAAAGCAAATCACTGCGATAGAATACTTTTCTGGACCAGCGTGTCAAAACCGGTATAAAAGTTCTGTTTTCAATCTTAGAAAAATGAAAGTCTAAAGGAACAGATATGATTCTGTAGTTCAAACAGCGATGCTTAACGTGTTTATTTATAAGTGAGAACATGACTTCCTGTCCAGTTCAAACTGGTATTGTTTAAGGAGTATTCATATCGCTTTTCACAATAAAAGGAAAGAGAAACATTGACGTAATCTGCTTTCAGTTAAGACATGAATCTGCAAATGGGTGATTGGGAACGCCTCTGCTCGGCTGCAGCTGGCCAGGTCTGCACCAGGACACCCTGCGCCGTAGATGTCCGTCTTCATGCTCAGGCTACAACAACCTCGTCTTCTGTGTCTTTCTCAACCTTTCCGTCGGTCGCAGCATGTTGGTGCATCATTCTGTGTCCGTGTCTGACCTCGAGTTGTTTTCTTCCCTGTTTGGTAAAGACCTGATCAATTGCTTTGAGCCCATTATTGACCTCTGTGGGTTAAAGCTCTGGACTCGGGTGACTCAACCACTGCCCATGAAGCTCCCCAGGACTCATTTGCTCTTGCAGTGTTGTAAACAACAATGGCGCCCACGTGGCAAGTTGTTATGGCGTCACTGGTCAGCCCCAGCCCCAGGGTATGTGTTGTCCCGGCGACACCTCGCCCTGCAGCGTGCTCTCCACCTGCCAAAACGACCAGCAGCAGATGATCTGCTGAACGAAGGGAACCAGTGGGATCATACCGAGACAGCAGGTCCGCCACGTAGGATGGAGACGAGCGATTCAAAGCCTTGTATACACACAAGGCTTGGAAGTGAAAAGCTGACCGGGAGTAAATCAGCAACAACAGGTGTAATGTGCACGCGTCTGTCGGTGTTAGTTAAACCTCTGGCTGCAGTCCGGAGTGGTGGAGGTTTCCATGGGGCACCAGCACAGCCATATTTAGGTTTTTACTAGTCTGACACAAAAGACGCAACGATCAGTGGAAAAATTTGCAGAGAAGCGATGAAAACTCCAGTCTGGTGACACAACCATCTTGTTTTTATCCTAAAGTAATGACACAGAACGGCCAGGGATGCATTTACAGAGCAAACATCAGGTTAGAGACTGCCATGAACTAATGTTTAGACAAACAACAAACTCTTTTTTACACAAACATGAATCATTTAGGCCTTTAAAGTCTTTTTTATGAGAAAGTGTTTTTCTCCAAACCAAGTGAGGTCAGCTGAGGGAGTCCTGTTAGCTTAATCCAGAGAAAATCTGGACTCTACTGCGGCTCTGACACAGAGGAAACTTTAAATGTGTATAATTGTACTTCTGGTGGACCAGAACCATAAAGTTCTGAGTTTGCTGCTCGCCCCAGAGAGCAGAGATCAACCAGAGGGAGCAACCATCGGCCAAAGAGGAGAGGTTGTGCTGCCATGTGAGGAGAAGCAGCGGGGGGGGGCAGCTCGAGTTAACCACGTTAGCTTAAACTCGTGTGCTAGCATCACAATATAGTACAGATTACCATCATGTACCAGACAGTTAAAGTAGTATCGCTCAGTTAATATAATACTAATACTAATGAGCATCTTTCAGCTGTCTCACACTCGTTAATATCCGCTCACCTCACCTAGTTTAGCTTAGAGAGAGGGAGAGAGACGCCTGTCCTCCGGTTCTGGAGCACATGCGGGCTTCTGTGGACTGGATCCGACCCAGACACCAGCGAGCCAGTCCAGCTGGTATTCTTAAAAGCTGCACATGATCCTCTCCTGGTGGTCCAGGCGGTTCTGATCTGGTTCTGACCCAGAAACCAGCTCAATTGACCCGCTGAGCCCCGCACGTCTCTTCTGGAGGTCGGTTCTGACCTGGTTCTGACGGTGATCTGAATTCTAGAAATCCACATTTAATTTTTTAAACCCCTCCACGGGTCGTCTCCGGAGCCCAGCGCGGACCTCCCTGACCCGGTACCGACCCATATGGGCTACAGAGGTCCGTCTTTTCAGCTGCAGAAACGCCCTCAGGCACGGAGATAGAGGCGTTGTTCCTCTGATCTGGAAACCTGGGGACTCGATGCCCAGACAGGCTGGAGTCGGTGCAGCCTTCACACACTCTAGTTTACCAACATGAACACAACCCAACACTAGTAAACACACACTGACTGGATCACATGACCTCTCTACCCTAAACTAGCCACTCTCCACACCGAGCTGAGGCAGCCGAGCTTCTGACTGCCTTTGGTTACGTCAGAGTTCAGATTCAGAAACAAGAGAAAGGAACTTTTACTAGAAAACTGCTGTTATGTGTTTTATAACCAAATATCCACAATAAGCTTTTCTAATAGTCTTCTCATGACAGCATTTTATATGAACTAGAAATAAACTTAACCTGCTATTTGCTCTTTAACATATGTTTTGTACGTTTTTCATAATAATGGCATCGATCGATATGATATTTTTTATCTATGTACTGTTTTTCCATATCGTTCAGCCCTACTAGAACATCTTACTTTTAGCTAACTCGCCTCCTGGACTAAACCAACAGCAGCTTCCTGTCGTGAGTCCAGATGGGTGAGTCCATGAATGTTAGTGACAGGGTTAGGGTTTTCTAATCCGTCTGTTTTCTATCAGAGCTACTGCAGGAGATGGGTGTAGGAGACTATTTTCATGTTCAGCCTGCATCAAACACTCAGAGAGACTGATCAGATTTCTAAATAACTAGTAAAAAACAGGTTCTCAGTGAACTTGCTCTTTAAGGTGCACTCCATCAAAGATACCTGAGCAGAGAGAAGACGCCCACGGCGATGAGCTTGCACTGCACCTTGTCTGGGACGGTGCTGTCATTCACCAGGAGTCCGATGCGAAGTCGGCAGCCGAAGTCATCCGTGATGGAGGCCAGTTGGAGGTAGTACCCGAGGTAGAGGCAGGCACACAGCAGGGTGACCAGCGTCAGGCCACGGCACAGCAGGTAGAACAGCAGCAGCGACCGCGAGCAGCGCTTGGTCATCAGGAACTTCTCCACCAGTGGGTAGTTGAAGCAGCCGTCGGTGGGATCGCTAAACGGGGAGGGGAATGATGTGACAGACATGCGTAACAGCTGGCTACAGATGTGTCAGACAGACCAAGAGCAACCAGGTCAACAGCAGCGGGGCCAGGGTCAGTACCTGTCTGAGTTGAGAGGTCCAGAGCCGGCTAAGCGTTTAGCCAGAGTGACGGCGCGGTTGTAGCAGCGGTCCAACTCCTCCATGATAAAGGCCAGGTCCGACTGCAGCAGCGGAGCCGCGACGAACCTCCAGAACAAGGCTGGGGTGTACATCAGAACCGCCACTAGCAGCAGGATGTAGGGGAAGAACTGAGCCGGTCAAAACAAAGCAGACGGGTCGCAATCAGCTGCAGCTTCTCCTCAGTGGACCAAGATCAAACCATGAGTCAGCACATTTTTTATTCAATGAGTAAGTAAGTAAAAGTTTATTTATAGAGCGCCTTTCACAGATATACATCACAAAGCGCTGTACAACATGATAAAGATCAGGGCAAATACCTCTAACCAATAAAAACATCAGAAAAACAATAGCAGTGATAAATGTAGAAAATACAATCAGGAGTATAAACAAAGTGAAGGTGTGAACCCGAACAAAGCCATCATTCTGAAACATTTAGGGAGGGAACGCCTGGATGAAAAGGTGAGTTTTTAGATGATTTTTAAAGACCTCTACAGTGTTAGAGAGACGGAGATTAGAAGGTGGACTGTTCCAAAGTCTGGGTGCAATAGTCTGAAAGGCCCCGCCCCCTTTGGTTTTCAGTCTGGTTCGAGGAACAGCCAGGAGGTTTTCAGATGTGGATCTAAGGTTCTGAGAGGTGATGTGTGGGGATAAAAGCTCAGATAGGTAGCTTGGAGCCTGCTTGTTAAGAGCTCTATAGGTCAGGACTAAAACTTTAAACTGTATTCTATATTCTACCGGGAGCCAGTGGAGGGACTGTAAACCTGGAGTGATGTGAGCTTGTCTGCTGGATTTGGTTAGGAGTCTGGCTGCTGCATTTTGGATGGCTTGAAGGCGTGAGAGGGAGGTTTTGCTGAGACCAGTAAAAAGAGCGTTACAGTAGTCTAAGCGTGATGACACAAAGGCATGGATGATTTTTTCCAGATCTGCAGTAGAAACCAGTTTACGGACTTTTGAAATGTTTCTCAGTTGAAAGAAACAAGAGCGGGAGATGGTTTTGACGTATGAGTCTAAACTTAAAGCTGGATCAAAAATAACTCCCAGGTTTCTAATGTTGGCCTTGGCTGATGGGCAAAAAGAGGCAATTTCCTGCTCGATTTTTGGCTGAAGTTCCGGGGGTGCAGCGATCAGGGTCTCTGTCTTGTTAGCATTGAGGACAAGAAAGTTGCTGGACAGCCAGTTACTGATCTGGGTCAGGCAGAGTACAAGTGTGGCCAGCCTGTCCAACTGGTGTGGCATAAAGGACATATAGAGCTGAATATCATCAGCGTAGATGTGGTAGATGTCTGGGAAAGACTGAATGATGCCAGCTAGGGGAAGAATATAGAATGCGAAAAGTAGAGGCCCTAGAACTGAACCTTGTGGGACCCCGCATGTTAGAGAGGCAGTTTCTGAAGAGAAGGTTTCTGACTTCACTGTGAATGTTCTGTTGGTGAGATAGGAAGAGAGCCAGTCTAGAGCAGAACCTGAAATCCCAGCCAGAGCATTGAACCTGTTTAGTAGAACGTTGTGGTCTACAGTGTCAAAAGCTGCACTGAGGTCAAGCAGGACCATGACAAAGCATTTCCCTGCATCAGCAGCCATCAGGAGGTCATTATGCACCCTTACTAGAGCAGTCTCAGTTGAGTGCTGCTCCAGAAAGCCAGACTGGAAGGGGTCAGAGACCTTTGACTTAGAAAACCAGGATCTGAGTTGGGTTTCAACAACCTTCTCAAGTACTTTACTGATGAAAGGTAGCTTAGAAATGGGCCTAAAGTTACTGGTGGAGCTGGCGTCAAGGTTGTGTTTCTTTAAGAGAGGAGTCACTACTGCATTTTTAAAGTAAGATGGAACACAGCCTTGGCTCAGTGAGCTGTTGATCATAGTCAACAGAGATGGACTGATAGAGGCAAGGGACCCGACTAAAACAGAGGGAGGTAAGATATCTGATGAGCATGATGAGAGCTTCATCTGACTGATTATTGAGGTTAAGTCATTTAGTGTAATTGGGGAGAAGGAGGTGAAAGACTCGGAGCACTGGGGGGGCCTCCCCTCCTGAGGGGGCGAGGGCTGGTGGAATGCTGGATCTCAGATTCAGCACCTTGTTTTCAAAAAAGTGGAGAAATCTGTTACAGTCATCAGCTGAAGATAGCTGAGCCTGCTGCGGAGGAGAAGACACGATGCTGGAGATGGTATCAAACAAAACCTTAGGATTATTCTTATTTTGACATATGAGGTTGCTGAAGAAAGAAGACCTGGCATTTTCTACAAGCTTCGTTGTATGGCTCGAGAAGTTCTTTAAAATATTCACGATGAACAACCAGACCTGTCCTCTTCCACCGTCGTTCCGCTTTTCTATAGGAGCGTCTAAGATCAAGCATCTGGTTGTTCAGCCTGTGTGAACTGGAGGCACTGGAACTGCGGCTGGTTTTGTAAGGGGCGACCTGATCTAGAATTTTGAGGCACTGAATAAGATGCCCCCCAGGGGGTGGGTCCATTTGAGAAAATCCCAACATTTATTTCTTATTTATCCTTTAAAATGACATTATTTTATGGTGTTAATGTTAATAAGCTATACCAACGTGGTGCTTTACTTTAGCTTTGAGGTCGTCGAGTGAAACCACCGCGCGGTAGCGGCCATTTTGTGCCTGTAGCTCGGCCAGTGTGGGGAAGCACACGGTGTAAATATGCTCTGGTACACACAACGGACTCCGGTTTTAGTTAACTGGAGAACGGGTAAACGACGTTAAACGGGTTGTTGATCACAGCTGGAGGTAGCATTCGCATTTCAGTAGCCTGCGACCACCACAGATGTAGAAGTGTTATTGATCAATACTCCCGGCCGTCTCATCGAAAAGGTTTCAACCACACCTTTAAAAACTAAATTAGCTGCAGAAACGCTGTCGGTAAATAACACTTCCACTAAACTAACAGAATATTTTACCACACCCCCTCTGAGGTTGAACTCCTCTCCACGACTCTCTAAATCCGCTGTGATCAACTCAGCATGAATCATGGGAAAGTGAATCATCGTAATCTCAACAGTCCAGATGGACAAGTCCAACCATCGAGTTAGTTTTAAGTGTGTGTGTGTGTGTGTGTGTGTGTACCTTATGCAGCCACAGAGGCAGGGTGTGTGTGTGAACAGCAGCCCAGCAGTAGGAGTCCACATAAGCAGCCTGCTTCCAGGAGAAGCTGGAGGGAGCAAAACAGCTGATCTGACTTCCTGAGACATACAGGAAACAAACAACAACAAAGTCTTTAAAGACAACAACTAAACAGATCCAGATTTAAAGTCCAGTTCAGTTTGATTCAGTAAAACCTAAAGAAAATAAAGAGTTGCTGAAAGAAAACCAGCAAATCTTCGCTTCAGAAACTTAAACACTTTGAATGTTGGTTTGATTAAAGCTGTAATAAATAAAGTAGGTAAAACACGTCCACCTAAAACTAAAGTTCAACAATTCTGAGACCATTTTTTACAAATAAATGTCCTGTTCACCCGCTGATTCAGCACAAAACTAGTCAGCTTTAGACTAAACTTGATGGGTTTGGTAAGCTGAGTGCTTTAAGAGATCAACATATAGATTACCTCTACTTGTGACAATAAGCTGTGATACTCTATCTAAATATAGAATATCAGCCTGCCTGGTCTTCACTGTTGATCAGAAGACTCTAGGGTTCTGTATTTATTAGGAGATTGTAAACACTTCGTCTTGATTCATTAAAGAGTCAGGTTTATAAAAATAAGAATTTATTTTACCAACAATTAAAACACGACAGGTTAACATTTACTGTGATGGATGGATCTAGGTGTGATGGATGGATCTAGGTGTGATGGATGGATCTAGATGTGATGGATGGATCTAGTTGTGATAGATGGATCTAGGTGTGATGGATGGATCTAGGTGTGATGGATGGATCTAGGTGTGATGGATGGATCTAGGTGTGATGGATGGACCTAGGTGTGATGGATGGATCTAGGTGTGATGGATGGATCTAGGTGTGATGGATGGATCTAGGTGTGATGGATGGATCTAGGTGTGATGGATGGATCTAGATGTGATGGATGGATCTAGGTGTGATGGATGGATCTAGGTGTGATGGATGGATCTAGGTGTGCTGGATGGATCTAGATGTGATGGATGGATCTAGGTGTGATGGATGGATCTAGGTGTGCTGGATGGATCTAGGTGTGATGGATGGATCTAGATGTGATGGATGGATCTAGGTGTGCTGGATGGATCTAGATGTGATGGATGGATCTAGGTGTGATGGATGGATCTAGGTGTGATGGATGGATCTAGGTGTGATGGATGGATCTAGATGTGATGGATGGATCTAGGTGTGCTGGATGGATCTAGGTGTGCTGGATGGATCTAGGTGTGCTGGATGGATCTAGGTGTGCTGGATGGATCTAGGTGTGCTGGATGGATCTAGGTGTGATGGATGGATCTAGGTGTGCTGGATGGATCTAGGTGTGCTGGATGGATCTAGGTGTGCTGGATGGATCTAGGTGTGCTGGATGGATCTAGGTGTGATGGATGGATCTAGGTGTGATGGATGGATCTAGGTGTGATGGATGGATCTAGGTGTGATGGATGGATCTAGGTGTGATGGATGAACGTAGATGTGATGGGTGGATCTAGGTGTGATGGATGGATCTAGGTGTGATGGATCTAGGTGTGATGGATGAACGTAGATGTGATGGATGGATCTAGGTGTGATGGATGGATCTAGGTGTGATGGATGGATCTAGGTGTGATGGATGGATCTAGATGTGATGGATGGATCTAGGTGTGATGGATGGATCTAGGTGTGATGGATGGATCTAGGTGTGATGGATGGATCTAGGTGTGATGGATGGATCTAGGTGTGATGGATGGATCTAGGTGTGCTGGATGGATCTAGGTGTGCTGGATGGATCTAGGTGTGATGGATGGATCTAGGTGTGATGGATGGATCTAGGTGTGATGGATGGATCTAGGTGTGATGGATGGATCTAGGTATGATGGATGGATCTAGGTGTGATGGATGGATCTAGATGTGATGGATGGATCTAGGTGTGATGGATGGATCTAGGTGTGATGGATGGATCTAGGTGTGATGGATGGATCTAGGTGTGATGGATGGATCTAGGTGTGAATGCGGTGTTATCAGAACTTCCGTATCTAGGAGAGCCGAGTTCTGGATGTAAAAGAATTGGGTTAAGCTATGAAGTTGATTATTATAAAAACACATCAGACGCTATCTGTGTGTCTACTTCACCCGTTCTGGGAGACCCTCTTTGTGGAGCCGAAGGTCAGAGAGGTCGGATGACCTCTGGCACCAGAGGGCTGTAGAATACCGTGGCACCGACCCTTCAGTCCAGAGATGTCTCGGGTCACGACAGATGGATGGAACCGAGCGTCTGGGACTCTGAAGGAGTCTAACCCCGGGTTTCCACGGGAGCCGTCAGCAGCACGTCTTGCTCGTGTAAGCTGCTGCTTGGCCCTTCCCACGAGACGCGAAGCAGCAGGGGAGCAGCTGTCACCGACCGAGCACGAAGTCAAACGAGTGACTTCGCCAGTAAACACAACAACAAGCAGGAGAAAACTACAACATGGTTTGTGTTTTATGTTCTGTCCGTTTTATAATCGCCAATACGGACCTGAAAAACAAAGGAGACCGCTAGCTAGGTGATAACTTCTCACTGGACCGCACAGATATAGAAACTTGACCCGTTTCAGAGGCGTCGCGCGTAGAAAATAGAACCGGCGCGTAAAGGCCGCGACATGCTGCTCCTGAGAAGCGGCCGACTCGCGCTGCTGACGGCTCCAGTGGAAAGCCGGGGTGAACAGTATCAGCTCGTTCTGCAGGAACTGTTCCTCATCAGCCTCTGGTTGGCTACACAATCATAACACGAGAACATTAAACCAGATTACTCCGGTGGTTACTCACTTCTAGAGAGTTTCAGAGCGGCCACCTGAAGCAGAACCCTCGTCACAACCTTTCTGCACCTGCGACGCTGATACTGGAGTATCACCAAGAGCCTCAGAAACACGGAGGCTCTGATCCGGGTAAAGGACTATCGATGTGTCACGAGTCTAACTTAACCTTACTTTGTCCTTGTGTGAGAGCAAATGGTGACGACCTCGTCACATCAACATGCTGACACGTATTTCTATCACCGTAACCATAACATTCATTTCACACTTCAGTCATTGAGCACAGACTAATGAAACATTTCATTATACTATAATTATTATAAGTAGCAATAAACAAACGTTTATTTAATGATTATCTAGATTATAAGTTGTAGAAGTTCACATCTGGTTTAGGAAATCCGGGCTGTGAGTGTTCCTTATATGGAGGCATGAAGAGTCCTGACAGATGGGACCTCGAGGAGAGAACATTATTGTTGACATTTGGTTATCCGTGTTCAGAGCTGCAGGCTCTGAGCTCCAGCTGGTGGGATGGAGCTAGGGCGATTTAAAGGAGACACGTGCAGTCTCGTGTCTCCTCTTTGACCAGGTGTTGAACGGTCAAACTACCTCAAACTGACCGTTGCTGGACGTTAAACAATAAATAGTTAAACACCTACAGCATTTACAGTCACTAAGCTTTTATCTTTAGCTAGGACCTGCAGATGAGAGCTTTTGTTAGAGGAATTCACCTGGACCCACACTCACCTACGGAGACTTCCTGAGCGAAGGCGAGTGAGATGAGGAGGAGGGGCAGTCCGACCGCCACACAGGTCACCATCTTGTCCACGGCCAGCTCCGTCCGGATGCTCTTGTAGCGAGCTGGGTTTGGATCCTTCAGCAGGAAGTCACTGAACACGTACTCTGTAGCCACGTGGGCGATAGCCATCTTTCTGCTCCGTGCTAATAAAAGAAATAATAATAATAACAGAAGCAGGTCTGGGCGGCGTTTCCTCCTGTGTGTTTTCTTTCACTCGTCAACACAAATGACAGCAAAATAAAGTAATAAATCCAGTTAAAAAATAAACCTTCACTGACTGAAATATACACGGTATGTAAAGGTGAACGATTTCTTTATGTTTAACAACGGCAAAGGTGTACGGGCTTTTATTTTGACAGCGTCACAGTAACCGTAGCTAAGTAGGGAGACGCAACACAGAAGCAAACGTAAATCTATTAGAAGTAAAGATGGAGCAAAGGGTAGACTATTAACGAATAACGGAGAAGAAAACACAGAAAACCTGAAGAATACTTCCGTCTAGCTTCAGCTGATGAGGGGAACAAGGTCTGCAACTAGAATTCAGAATGTTATGAAAACGGAACGTGTGTGTGTGTGTGTGTGTGTGTATATATATATATATATATATATATATATATATATACATATATGATTGTATTAGTTGTGAAAAGGGCTACCAATGTAATCAGTTATGCATTATGGTTTAATTTATGATGAAAATGTTGTATTTATTATTTATTTTTGTTTATGCCTAGCTCTTACGTTGGTTGATGATACGGATTTACCATCAGTTCTGGCCTTCTCAATATTGACTGAATGCTACACGGTACATACATATACATGTATATGTACTTTTACACGTACATACATATACATGTATATGTACTTTTACACGTACATACATATACATGTATATGTACTTTTACACGTACATACATATACATGTATATGTACTTTTACACGTACATACATATACATGTATATGTACTTTTACACGTACATACATATACATGTATATGTACTTTTACACGTACATACATATACATGTATATGTACTTTTACACGTACATACATATACATGTATATGTACTTTTACACGTACATACATATACATGTATATGTACTTTTACACGTACATACATATACATGTATATGTACTTTTACACGTACATACATATATATGTATATGTACTTTTACACCAAATAAATACCAGATTTTAAGAACTGAAATGTTTTCTTCAGGTTTTAACTGTACTGAATTATCCTGATTGTTTAGTTAATATGTGAAACTTGTTTACTTGTTTTAATCAGACGTAAGCTTAGTTCATTTAAATCAAATAAAGTAACCAAAGTGTGTGTGTGTGTGTGTGTGTGTGTGTGTTGATCTATTAGGCCGTTCAAATGAACTGAAACTCTGGACGCTCGGATCCAAAAAGCAGCACATAGAGCCGAAAATAACAGACATTACATCCATGTCGGTTTGCTTTAGCTGTTCTACACAAAAACAACCTAAACTGACTAAACACTTGTGTTGTTTGGTCAGATGTCACAAATCTAACCGGCTGAAAGTCAATAAGCTGCAGCAAATGAGAGGTTCTTTTTGGCGATTCGGTAGAAGAACCGACCTTGTTGCTTTAATAGTAAACAAGCTGAATCGGTTCATGTGGTTAAAAATGAACTCGAGCTGAAAACAACTCGTGATTTTAGCCACAGCGGCCGTCTTTGTTCAGACCCAGCCGCTGTTTTCATCTGCAGCTCGGCAGCTTGTGTAAAAGCAACGACGAACCTGGTTAGACTCACTGGGTCGGTCAAAGACCGCCTAAAACACGTTCACCGGAACTTACCGACGCGGGCTCGGCTGGGTGGCGTTTACCATTTTAAACCTTCATGTTAGAGTTGAGAAAGTTTCGATGTTTTCCTGGACATCTTCGCGCTCCAGCAGAGGCACAGAAACAACTTCGGACCGTCTCTAACCCTAACCCTACAGGAAGACGATAAACACCTTCCGACATTCCCTCCCGCTGCTGCCTTCATGGACTCACCAGCAGCGTGGGTTTTCTCAGTGTACGCTGCCTTCAATTACAGCTGGTAAATTTGAAATCAGTGCGAAGAATTAAACGCTTTTAACTCTTTTAAAGACTACACGTCTCTTGTGAATTTTCTTCGATATAAAATGAATTTAATATATCCTGATTAAAAGCCGAATCCTAATGGATCCTCTTTTCTGTCTTGTCTCGGTATCTGACCCAGCGGTTTGTCCAGCATTGTAGGTTATAAAAATAGTAATAAGGAGGCTAAAACCTGTCAACTCCTATATCATATGTAATGTGTCACTGCCATGTATGTGAATAATCAAAATATGAACACACATGTATTATCATTTACATTATTTTTAAATGTAATGACTTTAGACAACGCAGTAAAATGAATTTGAAACATATTTATCTTTTTAAAAGATAATGATCACTGTGCAGACATTTCCATTTTAAAACAACACATATATGTATTTTTGTTGTACAATTTGAGGACCTGCTTGAAAATGAGATGACACATCTCAAGCGGTTTTCATCCTCATAAAATATAAGTGAAAAAAAAATCCCATCTCCCCCTCCGCGGGTGGTCTCATCCTTCCAAGCTCGGGTCCTCTACCAGAGGCCTGGGAGCTTGAGGGTTCTGCAGTATTTTAGCTGTTCCTAGAACTGCTCTTTTATGGGCTGAGATGTCTGATGTATTTCTGGGATCTGCTTTAGTCATTCTTCCAGTCTGGGGGTTACTGCCCTGAGTGCCCCGATGACCATGGGCACCACAGATGTCACTCTCCAGGCTTTCTCAAGTTCTTCTTTGAGGCCCTGGTACTTCACTAGTATCTCATGTTCCTTTTTCCTGATGTTACCATCACATGGTATTGCCACATCAATCACATTGGCTGTCCTATGTTGTTTGTCCACCAACACAATGTCCGGATGGTTCACCATCACCATTTTGACCTTAGGGCTTCCAGTCCATACTGCACAGATGTTTCTACACTATGCCAGCCACTTGGTTGTGGCGTTCCATGCATGCTTTCCCTGCCAGCATCTTACACCCTGCAGTTATGTGGTGGATTGTCTCAGGGGCCTCTCTGAATAGCCTACACCTTAGGTCTTGTCTGGTGTGGTAGACCTTGGATCTGTTGCTCTGGTGTTCAGGGCCTGTTCCTGTGCAGCCATGATGAGTACCTCTGTGCTGTCCTTCAGACCCGCTCTTCTTAGCCATTGGTAGGATTTCTTGATATCAGCCACTTCAGATACCTGTGGGTGGTACATCCCATGCAGGGGTTTGTCCTCCCACGATGGTATTTCCAGCGTCTCCTCCTCTGTTCGCCATTGACTAAGACACATTCACTGAGCATGTCATCTGTTAGGGCCTTGTCCTTGATGTACTTATGGATCTTGAATGTTTCATCTTGGATAGTGGCTCTCACACTCACTAGTACTCGGCCTCCTTCCTTATGGCTAGTGTACAGCATCAGGATACTGGATTTAGGATGGAACCCTCCATGCATAGTTAGGAGTTTCTGTGTCTTGACATCTGTGGTCTGTATTTCTTCCTTTGGCCAGCTTATGATTCCTGCAGGAGATCTGATTACCGTGTACACTGTAGTGTAAAGCGCTTTGGAGTCCTTACTCTGAGAGGCACTATACAAGTGCGGGTCATTTATTGTTTATCATTTACTGGCAGGGCATAGCTGTTAATTGCCCAGGGGTCTCATTTATCAAACGTTGCGCAGAATCCTTACTAAAACCAGCTGCACGCAATCTCCGTTTCATAAATCAGACACTAACGAGAATGTTTCTCAGCTACATTTTAGTCACATCCCGCCCTCACCACGCCCACTTACTGCCATAAATAGTCAATGCAAAGTGCCTTGTGGATCTCATGCATGTACATATGCCGGCTGTTGCAGCGCTCCGCCAATGACATGGCGACCGTAGATCAAGGCAGATCAAGGAAGCGCTATTTCACAAGCAGAAGTTGAGGTACCTGTGGGTGAGGTGGAGAAATGAAAGGAAGTGCTTTTGCAAAACACATAAGAGAAAATCCACGGAGTGGCACAACGTTGCTGAAGCCGTCAATGCTGTGTTCTTCAGAGAGATCTGTGGCAGATATAAAAACAATGGTCCAATCAGGATTCGATCCCCAGACTCCCGGGTGAAAGTCACACACGTGCTAACCAGTCACCCAAACAGAGACCTGCCCTGTACAAGTAGCCAGGGCGCATGATCAATTGGGTAACAGTGACAGGACACACACTGTCACAGACGCATGATGTTCTGTCTCAATCTGTCCCCCTGCTGGTATTCTGTATTCCGTATTCTGGCTTCAGGTTGTGTGTGTGTGTGTGTGTGTGTGTGTATGTGCAAGCGTGCGTGTGTGTGTGAGTGTCCACCATCGACATACATACTGGACAATTCGATTCCATAGGCTCCAATAACACGTTTTTTGTCTAAAATGGGAGGTGGCCACCACCGCCATTTTGACCGTGTCACAGGTTCCGTCCAGCCCAGACAATTCCATAAAAGGGAAGAGAGGAGGCGCTGAGGGTGGGGCTGTAAGGCTGGGATCGACTGACGACACCCGGTCGAACTAGCTACAAGCTAACCTGAAGCTAACCCTGGCTAACCCAAAGCTAACGCGGAGGTGGGAGCCGAGCTAACGGATGTAGCCACCTAGCTACAACCCAACCGGAGCTAACTGTGGAACACCCATCTACCTGAACCTCACACGGAGTTTAGGTGGAGGTTTTCGGCGCTTTTTCGTGAAAAGTACCTGGATTAAAAAAGTATTAAATCGGTAAGTTTATAATTTATTTCCGTAATGAACCCATATTTTGCTTTGAGCAAGTTTTCAGTACCGTATTTTGCGGGCTATAAGTCACTCCTGAGTCGCACCAGCCATTAAATGTATAATCAAGAAGAAAATATATATTTAAGTCATATTTTGGGAGGACATTTTATTATTTTTCTTACAAAATCTGAGACCAAGCGTTTCACATTGCAAGACAAGCACCGGTAACCATAACAGAATGAACAACGCGGGCGCAGCAGCGCTCCATGGTCTCCAGCCAGCACAGGAGAGGATGGCGGTGTTTGAAACCCTCCCGGCCGGCGAGGAGAGCTCATTCCTGGGCTGGAGCCGGCCCTCAGCACCCCGCCACTGGCTACAGCAGATGCTGGCGGTGTTTGAAACCCTCCCAGCGGGACAGGGGAACTCATTCTTGGGTCGGAGTCGGGTAGGTAGCGCGGTGTAGCCTACATATTTTGTTATATAAGTCACTCCGGAGTATAAGTAGCAGGACCGGCCAGAATATGTAAAAAAGTGTGATTTATAGTCCGGAAAATACGGTAGTTATTAGTATTTGAGATAAATTAGCAGCCTAAATACATTTCATATATTTCCAAAACGTAATACTTGTTTGTATCTTGTACAGCCAACTAGCCTTTATTCTGGACTCGGTACAATTCACCAAAAGTAAAGAGACATTATACAGATGAAGTAAGCACAAGATAACTTACTGGAAGAAACAGAATTATTATCATGAGAACCAGAACAAGAGAGCCTGATAACAGTCATGTGAAAATAACAGTTAAAAAGTATGTATGTATAATAGAAATAAAAATATATTAGAATTAGTGTAACTCAATGTGATCCAAACAATAAATCAGCCATAGCTGATTAGTAAATATGACATGAGATCTGGGAGTTTTTATGTTTCATTATTTTATTAAATTTTTTTCTTAGATCTGTTAAAAGGTCACCATGGCAACCATGTCTCCAACATCAGCTACACAAAGCAGCAAGTGTAAGTACCAAGTACCTGTCTTGACCACTTCATGTATGGTTCTGTACTTTAAACAGCTCGGCCAAACCGGTTATTTTTTTCTCCATAGCCATTTGGATCATCGGTGATAGCTAAGTGAGGCGTGGTGCCCAGAGAGCTGCAGAGACCCTCAGACAACCTTGGCCTCCCTGACGTCCGTGTCTCCTGGTTCGGTTGGGGCGGACTGAGGTGGAAAGACCTTCTTTTTTCACTCCCGGCATGGAAGAGCAGCTCCGGATGTCATCATTCACTGCGGCGGCAATGACATGGGGGTGGTCAGCAGTGTGAAGCTGGTCAACATGAAGGAGGACCTGCACCGGCTTCACCTTCTCCACCCTCATATGACCATCATCATGTCGTCCATCACCCAAAGGCGTAGATGGAGGGCAGGTGTAAAACCTGCTAAAATTGAGAAGGCCCGGAGGTTCGTCAGCAGTGTAATGGCTACTTTTATTTCTAGTTTAAATGGTGCCGTTGTGCATCCTCACATCAGACATGACAGTCCAGGGATATTTTTGTCAGACAGAGTTCATTTCACAAATAGGGGAAATTATATTTTTTTAACTAATATTGCCGATTGTCTTAAAGGCCAGCTCCAAAAGCAGTGAAAGACTTCCAGGTGGGAGTCTCGCTGCTTTTGAATTTGGCCTTTATGACAGATTTATTTTCAGGCAAACAGGATAAACATATCCCTGACTGCTATAGCTAATGTGTTGATGATGTAATTTATCTGTAGCCATAACACTGTTGAACTGTTCTTCCTTCAAACCCCAATGTTGCACTCACTCTGCAGCTCTCTGGGCCCAGTTTATTATTGTTTTTTTTAATGTGCCGACACTTTGTGCCCTGTGTTATAAAACGTAGTGTTAAAAATAAATGTTTTTGCTCAACTACTGGAATTTCTTTGGTTAAGACTAGAAAGTGAGGAATAATCATTTACAAGTTATTTGTACAACAGGAACATTTTAAATCCCAACAGTTTCTTAGACAATAGAAATGTGTTCTTTACTAACTTTACTTGGTTTAAAAATCTTACTAAAATAAACAGAGTGCCGTATTGCAAAACCCAATCATACTTGTTATGTAAATATTAGCTTTGTAGATATTTTTTACAGATCTATATTTGTGTGCAACAAAAACCAAACTTAAATAATTTGTCATTCTTTATTGAAAAACAATAAA